TGTTCTTGTGTGGGGGGGGGGGTGTTTCTATTTGACATTGTGAAAACAAATCATATTAGAAGTCCCTTAGTTAGGCTTGATAATGCTAGAAGTCCCTTAGTTAGGCTTGATAATGCTAAATCATGACAAATAATACAATAATGGTGAGAAAAGATCGATCCTGTGTATATCCCGATTTTATTAGTTTAAAGAAGACGAATAAGAAGAGAGAGAGATGGCGGGAACAGTTGCAGAGCCGCCGGTAATGATCAAAGTGGCGGCCATTTGCAGCTCTCTTCGCAAAGCTTCCTACAACAGAGGCCTCATTCGTGCTGGTACGTACCTTTCACTGCTTCGATTATTTCCACCGATTTTGATCTGCCGATTTTCGATCGGATTTGATGTCTGATTCGGAGTTCGCAGCGATTGAGATGAGCAAAGAGGAAATCGACAGCATGGAGGTGGAGTACATAGAGATTTCGTCGCTGCCGATGATGAACCCCGACCTCGAAGTCGACGGCACATATCCGCCGGAGGTGGAGGATTACCGCCGCAAGGTTATTCAAGCTGATTCCCGGATTACAACTACCCCATCACTCGTAAGCTTTTGACTGCATCCATCTTCAATAATCTTCAATTAATTTTTTTCAAGATATGCATTTCTAACTCATCATCGTTTCCAATAATACATGTATCACTGTCAATTTAATCTCAAACACGTACTTCTGATTGCCTTGAACACTGAAGTAAAATCTGTATCAGAAGTTATTTCAATTATTATCTCCTTCAATTTCGTCTCATTCTGGTTATCGTTTGCCGAGTTGCTGCAGTTTTTCTAGCTAGACTTATTTTTCTTAGTTTAATTATTATGGATTGAGGAAAATGGTCTCTAAAACGCAAAGTCATATACATGTACAAACCTAAAATGTATGAAACAGAGGCTCCAGAGCAGAGTGAGTGAATACTGGGCATACAAGTAGCATTTTAATGCTTTTCCCCCTTAAAATAATCAATTAGTAAATCGTGATTTATGATTCCGATGGGGGCAGCGAGAGTAGTTTGTGAGTGTATAGACAAGTACAATCACTTGAAACACTTACTGAGGTGCTCATTCACACGCACGCGCGCTAATCTCTCTCTCTGTAAAACTATGTAGAGTACATATTATTATTTTTAGGAAAAATTAATAATTTGGTCCTTGTAATTTTTATTGGGATAATTAATCCATAACTCTTTATAGTTTCAACTAATTTTGAATCAGATCCTTATAATTTTTTTTTATCAGGTCCTTATACTTTCACCTGTTTTTAATTAGGTCCTTGTATTTATTTTTCTTTTTATCAAGTCCTTATAAGTTTACCTTATTTTTAATTAAGTCCCTGAATTTTTTATTCTTTATTTTATAAATTCTAATAGTACTATTATATAAACATAAAATAGTATATATTATTTAATATTAGTTTATAAACAATAATATTCTAAAGATATTGAATTATTATAATGATTTTAATTTTTACAGCAAAAAAATTAAGTGTTCTAAAATTTTTTTCTGAATTAATTAATTCTATTACTTTTTTATTACATAATTATTAAATTAATTTAATTATTAATATTTTATATTTCACTATTAATCTATTTAATTAATCTTATATTTAATTAATAAATAAAAATTAAAACTACATGGACCTGATTAAAAATTTAGTGAAATTATAAGGACTTAATTAAAAGAAAAATAAATACAAGGACCTAATTAAAAAAAATAAAAGTATAAGGACTTGATAAAAAGAAAAAAAACTATAGGGACCTGATTCAAAATTCGTTGAAACTATAAGGACTTGCAGATTAATTAACCCATTTTTATTTGGCTGTAACTTAAACTTTAAGTTGCTATAACTAAAATCCTATAGTTTTAACTATTTTAAATATTTAAAATGTTGGTCCATACATTTAATAAAAATATAATTACAAGGACTAAAGTTATTTTTTAAAACTTAGGGTCTGTTTGGTATAAGGAAAATACAAGGGAGCAGAGGGGAAGAAAAATTTTAATAAGCTGGATTTGAAAAATTAAAATAATAGGACTAAAAATTTTTAAGTTAAATTTCTTTCTTTTTTATCTTACATCTTTTCTTTATCAAAATTTAAAAACCTCCCTTCTTCAATTTTTAAATCAAATTCATTAAAATTTTTCCTTTCTTTCCGTACTCTCCAACTCCTTCATGCCAAACATGGCCTTGGGGAGTGATTTGTTTTATGGCTGAATGATAGGTATTAAATTGCATAGAGTGGAAACTATAGGTTGCGTTTGGTAGGAAGCATTGGAAATTAGGGATAGGGATTAGGATTGGGATTGGAAAAAATCTATTAAAAGAGTGTTTAGCATAAAAGATTACTTGTTATATGGGATTAGCCAAACCCATATATGTGGGATTGGAGAATACCATAGGGGGAAGTGGTATTCTCCAATCCCACCTCTATAGGTTTGTCTAATCCCATGCAATAAGCAATTAGTCATGTTAAATACTAGTTTAATAATTTTTTTTCCTAATGACAATCCCAATCCCAATCCCTCATTTTTCAATACTTTCTACCAATCGGGACAATAGGGTCTAAGTTACATTAAGCGGTTGAGTCACAATTGAGACAATTAGAGGGACCAAATAATTAATTTTCTCTTATTTTTATTACTACTACTGTTATCAGGGGCTCCTTGTATCCGATATATATATATATATATATATTTATATATATATTGATATATATCTCAGGGGCTCCTTCTAACAACGGTATTAAAGAGAGTATGCAGTAAAAATTAAAATTATATAATCATATATTTAATGAGAAATAGAGAGCATGATTTTAATATACACACTAATAATTACAATATAAACGGATTGTTAGCACCATTGAAGAATGCATTGGATTGGGGATCAAGGCCTCCAAATGTATGGGCTGGAAAAACTGCAGCAGCATTAAGTGCTGTAAGAGGTGGGAGAAGAGCACAGTATCATCTCCGGCAAATTGGAGTGTTTCTTGATCTTCACTTCATCAATAAGCCTGAGTTCTACCTTAATGCTCGCCGTCCTCCTGTAAAGTTCAATGACGACGGCGGCTTGGTTGATTCTGAGACGAAGGACAAGCTCAAGGAAATGCTTCTTTCCCTCCACACCTTCACATTGAGACTTCGTGGCAAGTGCTGAAAATTTTTATCATTTTAGTTTGCCATGAGAGAGGAAGTTCCTTAGTAACTTTTTTAAGCATCAAGCTGTTAAAGTGTGTTTTAAGCAATTGATACTTTAAAGAGATTGTGGAATAATATAACACATAAACTTTCAAAATCAATGTAATATTGCTGCACATTTTTATTCTTAAAATTAAATATTTTTTAAAGAAAAATTGTTAAAACGATATGCTGAGATTCTACAGTAGTGTCCTCCTTTCTACAAATGAAAATTGATCTACTACTTCAATTTTGAATCATATCCTAAAGTTTATTTTGTTTAAAATGGGTCTTTATTATTTAATCCCATAATTTTAATTTATAGATTTTATGATGTTTAAATGAATATGTGTATTAAAACAGTGTTAAGCAAAACAAAACAAATTTAATGGTCTCACAAATTCTATAAATTAAAATTACTGGATTTTATATTAAAAAAAATGAATGCCAATAATAAACTAAATTATAAGAATCCAATTCAGAAAAAAAATCATAAAGACTTAATTTAAAATTAAGATAAATTATAGAACCTACAAATTAATTTTTTCCTTTCTACAGTGTACCAATTTTTTCCAAAAATTAAAGGATTGGTACGTATATTTGCATCCGTACTCTTTATTTTTAAAAATACTATGGTACCATAAATTAGAAGTGGTTCCCACATGCATTTCTGGGACCGGGGAATAAAGAATTCGTTTAAAAAAAATACCACCTCGATTTTTTAATATAAGACCCAGTAAACTAATTTGAATAAATTAAAAAAATTAGTTAAGTTAGTTATTTGTAGTAAATAGGTGTTATATTTCCTAAAATATCTTTGCTAATGAAGTGTATTGACTAGAATTATCATTATTATAAGGATTAGGAAAAAAAATAGATACATATGAGAGACAAAATTGATTGGGATCTTATATTTAGAATCAAACTAAAAGTCAAATGAGCTCTTATATTAAGGACTTAAAGTAATATAAATTATATGTTTGTCTTTGTCTGGGTTTCTTTTGGCATGTGATAATGTTGAGATATGGTAATTTTGTCTTAATAGGACTTGGGCAGAAGTAGTTTAAAATTTTGAATTTAATAAGTTATCTTAAAACAAAAGAACAAAATGTAATGATTCATGCAATTTGAGAGAAAAATTACATCTGACCATTCATATTTTATATACAATTTATATATGCCAATGGATCTTTAAAATATAATTATTTTTTCGACAAAAAATAATTATTTTCAAATGTTAAAGTACACTGTTGTTGCTGCTGTTGCCACAATAAATAAGCATGCACAAAACCAAAATTATGACTGTGGACTGAGATCATAAATTTACTATTCACAGCACAAGCTGACATAAATGCTTTCTTTTAAATAATTTGTTGTTTCATGTTACCTCTGTATACAAGGAGTTCTGATATTGGTACTTGAATTACTGCAATTATTTCTTCCACGCTGACAACTCAATATGTATCCTCAATCCCAAAATTACAGTATGACAATAATTTTACTAATCATAGCAAAAGTGTCTTTTCACATAAAGTCCATGAGGAAAATAGAAGCGAGGGGAAGGGAGAAAAAATTTTAATGAGGTCAGTTTGAAAAATTGGCGAAGTAGGGTTAAAAACTTTCAATTAATTTTTATTACTCTTTTATATTACTTCTTTCCTTTGTTAAAATTTTAAAACCACAATTTTCTAATTTTTCAAATCAGCTCATTAAATTTTTTTCTCCCCTCTCCTCCCTTTCATTTCCCTCGTGCCAAACACTGCCTAATGTCTCTTGCAAGAACCAAAGCTCCTTGGTCTAAATGGCACCGCTGTTTTCCTCATCTTTGAGGAAGTCACAGGATGTATCATGTGCTGGGGTGAGAGTGGCCCTTCGTATGGAGGAGGATTGCGTGTGCAGATTAGGAAAAGAAAAAAAGTAAGTCCCACATGTTTATGTTATTTTGAGAATGAAATAAAGAAATTTGCTACTTCCTAGTACTTAAATTAACTTGGTAAAACCATCGAGAGTTTTAATTAACTAGTAAGAGTTGTTCCATCTTAACCAAAAATACAGATTTGATACGTTGAGAACGCATTGGTATAAGTGGTAGGGTCACCACCTATATGAGTCTTATCATAGCCAGATTAATTTAGTTTGTAATTCCTAAGGAGTCGGCCAGCATACCTGGCGCTCACGCAAAAGGAAAAAAAACTTGTTAAACGCATAATTTAGCTGATAGGAGGTTGTGCTAACTTAATCAATGCTATCGTTATGTTAAACATCACTAGATATGAACTTTCACATGAATGCTTTCTTTGAGAAATTTCAACCGTTTCAACTTGTGTTTCTGTATCAGCTCCATTGAAGAATGCAATTGACTAGGCATCAAGAACACCAAATGTGTGGGCAGGAAAAGCTGCGGCCGTTGTAAGCACAGGAGGAAGTAGTGGAGAAGCAAAAGCACAGCATCATCTTCACCAAGTGGGAGTGTTCATTGATCTTCATTTCCTCAACAAGCCTGATTTCTTCCTCAGTGCTTTCCAGCCTCCTGCAAAGTTCAATGCCGACGGCGATCTGATTGATGAAGAAGCCAAAATTAAGCTCAAGAAGCTTCTTCTTTCTCGCAGGAATTTACTCTCAGACCTCAAGGCAAAGCTGGATCAACTTCAACCCTCACAAATACTGAAGATTATGGGATAATAAGCTGTGGGTTTCAGATTCTCCATCATATTATTGTTTGTATGTTTGGAATTTTTTCCCCCTTTATTGCTGTGCAATTTTTGTGTAAGGTTTATTCGCCATGATCAGTGAAATGTTTCTGTTGCGATAATTTAAAAAAAAAAAAAAGTTTCTGTTGAATAATACTGATCGATTAACATTGTGAAGGATGATCATAGGAGTCTAATTCATGTGGTTGACAGCCTGTGTTTAGCTCTTTTGAAATTACACCTAAACATTTAAATATTTAAAGAATGTTAATACAATTTTTAATTAGTCTCTAAGTTTGCAATCATTTTCATTTTTGCTCATGAGATTTTAAATTATAGGTTTTGGTCCAAATGATCTAGATTTTTATTAAATTATAAGGACTACTATTTCAAATAGAAAGAAATTTGAGAGATGAAAATCTATAGTTTTTGTGAGATTCAAATATAGTTTTCTTTGAAACTGATTTTGTATGATTTTATATGGACTTAAATAACTTTAAATTGGTCTTATGATCTGACTGAGTTATCATTTTCTTAGACAATAATTAAAACTAACATTTGAAGGGAATGTGCTGGTCGCTGCCTGCCACCAAGGACAATCTTCATCTGCTTTGTTTAAGCAGTGGAATATTCAACTTTCTTCATTTAGTACTCATCACAATAATGAGTATTATATATTCGTTCCTATAATAAAATTAGAAACATTCAAAATTTAATTTAGAAAATTTAGATTTAAAATTTTTAATTTTGTAATGATAACTTTATTCTTTCAAAAACTATTAATTATGAATTCTCTTTATTTTGATTTTTAGATCTATTAAAATTAAAATTATTTAAAATATAAAAAATTTAAATTGAAATGCTCATCAAGATGATGAGCATGCAATGGAATGTGCTGCACATATTTAGGGTGTGTTTGGGTGACACCCCAAACCATGGTTTGAAGATTAAGCCACCCAAACACCTACTCAAAAACCAAAACCATGGTTTTGGGTCAAAACCATGGTTTTGGCTCCAAAACCATGGTTTTGGAAAAAGCAAAAAAATTTTGCTTTTGGAGAAAAAAGGGAGAGTGTGAGAGCCTATAGGATATGTATCTTGTTATTTTTTTTATAAACATATTTAATATTATATTTTATAAATATATATACATATTAATTATTTATTAATTATATTATCTTATGTATTATTAATTATGTTGGTAAAAAAATATATTATTAACAATTTTATTCCTTCAAATTAAAATATATCATAAAATCTATTTTTTCTGTAATTATCATATTAACTTATGTCTTTTTTTTAGTAATTTGTATATATAAAAAGTGCTTCTGATAACAACTATCTAAACACTCTTACTTCTCAGAATCACTTTTTTACAAAATCTATTCTTCAGTCAAATATAATGTGACAAAGTGCCTATTTGGTTAAGTGGTGAAAGCTTAAATAAGCCTGTTTGAATCTAAATAAGTAATTAAAAAACATGTTTATCCTATTTGAATAATTTTTACAAAATCTTAATGAATCGTGATTTTACTCTTCTACCACACTTTTAGAATAAGCACTAAAGTGAGCTTATGCATTTGAAGAATCCTGATCAATTTTTATCAACTAAATTTTTTCTAATCTACCCTCCCACACTCTTCCGAAAATATCTCTCCAATAATTATATTTAATAATATTTGTTAAATTCATCTCTTTTTGGTAATTATATATCCATAAGTGATTTTAATACATCAAAATTAAACATAATCACAATTCTTAAAATCACTTATTAAAAAAAATACCTAAACAAAAATCACGATTAACCAGCATTACTTATAGCCAGTGTTACTTATAAAATTCACGTTAATCTAAAATTACAGTTGTTTATTGCTAATTCAAACGGGCACAAAAGCGATTCTTTTTCCCTAATTTAAATATTTTCTATTGCATTATTATAAGGAAAAAAAAGACAGTAAAAATTATGAAATTGCAAATCATGACCCACTACAAGACTTATATAAATTTTGACGGCAACTGAATAGCAAATAGCAAAAAATTTTTGACAAAATATTTGATTTGCAATTTTACAATTTTCATAGTCTTTTTTTTTTTTGCAATTTTTCTTGTTATAATCATTTTTCAGCAAATGTCTTAATTTTTAGTGAATTTTGTAAGTAGTAGTTTCCATATTTAAATTGAATGAATTGATCATTTTCAGTTTTAAAAATATGTCCGAACATTTATTTATGACTAAATTACACGTAAGTTTCTTAAACTTTAAAGTGTGTATTAAAAAATTCTTTTGTTTAATTATTTCAAAATGAAGGAAGGGTAAGTTAAAAAGAGATATAACATAAAATCTAGAAATTGTTTTCAGATATTCATCTAATGTTTAAAAAGTCACCAACATCTATGGTCATGCTCTGTTAGCCGTGGCTAAAGATAATATTAGTAGGACTATTTGTACAAATTAAAAAGTTTAAGATACCCATCGAATTTTTTTTTTAAAAAAGGATACTCATATTTTTAGCCAAAAAGCAAAAAAAAAAAAAGTTTAAGAAATTGTGGTTTGTGGATGTAACAATCTCTTTGGAAAATATCCACAAAGTGTTCCGGCTTCCGAGCCTCCATTGCCCATCATAAACCTTTGACTGGGTTTGTGTTCACATTATTCGAATGATGTGCGGGAAAAAAAACAAAAAATAAATGAACAAATTCCAATTTCCCTGTTAATCAATTGTTGTTGAAGATATAAAAAATATATAGTAAATGTAATGCAATTTACATAATTAATCGGAGAAAACTTGTGTAGTTCAGCATATACACTTAAGAAAAAACTTAGACCAAATTTCTTTTATCTATTATATCACGTTTTCTAATCATATATGGCTATGTGTCTTTTTGTTGTTTCATGTAAATTTATAATTAAATGTTAATATTTTAAAAATAAGACACATGATCATGTATGATTGGAGCACTTGATATAATGGCTAGAATGTTATACAAATATTGTTCTAAACATAATATTATTTCTTTTAATTAAACCAGAACAAATGGATTTTAAATCTAAAATACTTCAAAACATTTATTTTATTGAGAAATAAACAGAAAACTTTTATAATGAAAGTTAATTAGAAGGTAAATTAGTAAAAAATGAACGTATTCTAGTTTGATTAAAAGTTATCTTATATCTGTATCCAAAAAAAAGTTATCTCATGTACGTAAGTCTAAATAAGTACCTAAAATTTTCCTTGACGGGAAAGAGATTAACTTCAATGTTTTTCTTTTGAAATTTGGACTATAAAAAAATCTTTCGGCCAAGGAAATAACCGCCTAAAAAATTTTGAACAAGGGGAAAAAAAAGAAAAGAACTTGAGCCGAAAGTTATTTTCGTGGGAAAAAAACAGAAAAATTGAAATGCATTTGAGAATTATTATACGCTAACATAGGAGCTGGGTGTGTTAGATAAGCAGTTTGTTTTTATTCTTAATATAAAGTTTTAATTCATTTTATCTTTAAAATTTATAATTCTATTGATAGCACATGTAAAGGAAATTTCTAGTAATAAGATAATTTTCAATATAAATAATTAGAGGGTGTACTTTAAGAAGATTAACATGTAGTCTTTGTCATTCAAAATATAAGTATCAAATTTTTGAGGGGGTTTGGGTTTTTTCATAACATATAATTTAGGTATGTCTAATCATTTAATGCATTTTTTTATTTTTACTTGTAATTAATTATATGTCTTTCTTTTTTTCTTTTTTTTTCACCTTGTCCTCTCTTATCTATTTTTCTACTCATTATCCCTGCCACTTACCTTCTCCATAAATAAAGGTGTTTTATGAGAATAAGTTACACCTCCGGTCCTAAATATAGGACTCACTTTATATGTAAATTACATAATAAAATGGATCTTATGTTTAAGATCATAGAAATATATCTTTTACATATTTATTGTCTAACCATTTTTAACCAGCACGATTTAGCTTTTTATGATTATTTTTGAAAGAATATTTTTTTTATATATATAACTAATTTAACTAATTTTTTTAATATTTATAAATTATTTATTTAGTACTCATAGTTTTAAATGGGAGACACTATTTTATTATTTTCAGGGAGTATTGGTCTTTTGATGCCGCTCCGGTCTTTTCTCTTACAAGTCTTCCCATGCTTTGGGCTATCTCGTATGCTCTGTATTTACGTGTCAAAATCGAAAATCTTAAGATAAACCAGAGGACATCGTGAGTTGAATAATTTTTGTTCACCAAACTTGAATTGAAACGAACCTGCGGATCCTAGTGACTGAGATATTTGATCAAAAAAATCCCCAATTTTAGAGAAGAAGAATAAGAAGGAGAGATGGCGGGAACAGTTGCAGAGCCGCCGGTAGTGATCATTAATGTGGCGGCCATTTGCGGCTCTCTTCGCAAAGCTTCCTACAACAGAGGCCTCATTCGTGCTGGTACGTGCCTTCACTCCTTCGATTATTTCCGCCGATTTTCGATCGGATTGATTGAGATGAGCAAGGAGGAAATCGACGGAATGGAGGTGGAGTACGTTGAGATTTCGTCGCTGCCGATGATCAACCCTGATCTCGAAGTCGACGGCAGATATCCGCCGGAGGTGGAGGATTTCTGCCGTAAGATTCTTCAAGCCGATTCCTGTATCTTCGCTTCTCCTGATTACAACTACTCCCATCACTTGTAAGCCATTTCCTTCCTCCATCTTCAGTTAATTCTGTCAAGATGGTCATCTCTAACTCATCATCATATACAATAATACATGAATCATTGTCAATTTAATCTCAAATACGATACTCCTAATTGCATTAAAAACTTAGTAAAATCTACACCGGAACTTCTTCGCAATTGTTTTATCCATGAGTTTCTTCCCATGTTGGTTATCATTAACTGAGTTGCTGCAGTTTTCTAGTTGATTTATTTCCTTTTAGTTTGATTATTATGGATTGACGAAAATGTTTTCTAAATTGCGAACTAAGTCTTTCTTATATGCTATATATTTGCCTTAAAAATTATGAAACAGAGCAGAGTGAGTGAGTGAATACTGTGTCATACAGGTAGCTTTTTGATGCTTTCGTTTTTTTAATGAGTATATAGATAATATAAACGAATTCTTCGATCCATAATCCTTGATCCATAATAAGAAATTCAATCCCTTAAACACTTGCTAATGTGCTCATTGACACATGCGCTAATCGCGTATCCCTTTAGCTGTTATTTACTTATTTTAGATTATATAAATATCAAATTATGTACTTGGAGTCGTTTAGCTCAATATACACTAAAATTTTTGATTAAGTTCCGAGTTTTGCATGAGTTACTTCACCCAGATTAAAGATAACTGAAAAAAAATATCAAATTAAGTAGATATCACTCCATTGGTCCTATTTAACTAATTTAATTAGATTTAAAACTTGGGTAAGTTAGTTAATTATAAGAAATATGATGTTTTTCTTAAAACACTATAATTATCTTTCTTAATATCCTCTTTAATTATGGTTGGGGGAGTATTAATAGGGAAAATTTAGAAAAAATTTGATAAATATGAGAAATAAGTGTTATATTTAGAATTAAGATCAACTCAATAATTAGGTCTTATATTAAAGACTACAGGAGTATTATTTTTCCTAAAAATAATAATTTGGTCATTGTATTTTTGATTCAGTTGCAACCCAATCCTTGAATTTAAGCTAGTGTGAATAGTTCATCAAATGCTAGCTCCGGTCCTTAATATAAGAGCTAGTTGATTAATTTGAGTAAATTTAAAAAGTTTGTTAAGTTAGTTATTTAGTTATTTGTAATATATATACGTTATCTTTCCTAAAATACCCTTAATAATTATGTGTATTAGCTAGAAGTACTATTTGACAGAATTTTTAATATGTGCAACTGCACTACTTAAAAAAATAGATTTATATGAGAGATAAAGTGAATTAGGATATTATATTTAGGACTAAATTGAATGTCAAATTTTTTTTTTTTTGGTAAATAAGAGGGCTAGAGCCCATACAAGCTAAAACAAACTAATGGGGACTTGAGCCCAAACACTCAGCATCAAACAAAGTCCTCAAATGAGACTGACAGGTATCAAAAAGAGAAGATTTGGATAAACCTCCCTTGGCCAAAGCATCAGCAAGCTGATTTTGCTCTCTTGGAATATATTTTAATTCAAGGTCCCAGGCATAAGCCATGTATTCACGTATTTGAAGGCAAAGTAAGCTCTCTGAGTTGGTGCGCGGCTCCTTCTTGAACATATCAATAGAACTCTTTGAATCAAATTCTAGAATTACCTTCTTGAATCCAAAATCCCAAGCAAGTTTGAGACCCTTGAAGGTAGCCCACTGTCAGCTTCAATGGCAGTGCAATTACCGAGAAAATGGGAGAAACCTGCTATCCATATGCCTTTACAGTCTCTTAGAACACCCCCACACCCAGCTTTACTCAAGGATGAAGTCATAGCACCATCCACGTTAACTTTTATCCAACCTGAGAATGGAGGTTTCCAGGAACCCCCAGTTATATTGGACAGGTTTGTTCTAGCATCATCCTGGATCATGACATAATTTCTCCAGCTATTTTCAATGACTACTGCTGGATCAAGAGGCTTTTGAACATCAGAGCCAAACACCATCTCATTCCTCCATAACCATAATTTCCAGATAGTGACAGCCCATTTTAAATCCCAATTACTGTCTTCATGTATACCCAAGTCTCTTTTCAGATTTAAAGCAAACTAGTTTTTTAAGGGAGAGTTGAAGAATTGCACACAATACTTTGGTTTGATAAGCTGGCTCCATAACTGCTCAGCATAGGCGCAATCTCTGAGAATATGCATAGCACTTTCCACATGATCATTGCATTGAGGACACGTCGATGATGATGAAGACCATCTACTCCTCCATTCATTTGTTGGGAGCCTATTATTAAAGGCTACCCATAGAAACACCTTAATATGTTCTACACCTCTCCACTTCCATAACGCCTTGTAGACATGGCTATAATTGTTGGAAGGAGTCTCCTCTATCATATAATAGGAACTCTTAACCATGAAACTTCCCTCAGTTGTACCATTCCAAGATAAAATATCATTTCCTGCTATTTCCAAAGGCGGCATCAAGGTAATGAGCCTCTGGAAAATATCACTAGGAATAATAGAGGCAAGCCTTTGGAAATCCCAAGACCCATGATTAACCCACTCATACACCTTACTTTCCTCCTCAGCTTGAGTGAGAGGTCTAATATGCACTTCTTTATGAGTTCTATCAGTAAGTAGCCACTTGTCAGTGAAAAAGTTTACCAATCTTCCATTCCTAACATTCCATTTAGATCCCAACTCAACGATTTCCTGCTGTTGTGAAATAAAATGCCATAGGGGAGAATCACCATTCTTGGCATCAAGTAAATTCTCCTCATTCCTGAGCATATATTTGTTGAATAACACGTCTACCCAAAGTCCTCTGGAACTAGATATAAGCTAACATGCAATTTTTGCCCCGCAAGCTCGATTTAGAGAAGATAATCTCTTGAATCCTAAACCTCCATAATTCTTGGGCAAAATAATTTGTTCCAACCCAATTGGGTGAAAACCATGCGTTTTATGGCTCTTTCCCCGAATAAAATTCCTCTGTATTTTTTCAATTTCAGTGTAAATTGATAGAGGAATTTTTGCAACCTGCATAGGATAAAGAGGGATAGCATTAATAACCGACTTTGCAAGAGTAATTCCACCAGTAGTTGACAAACAATTTTCCTTCCATGTAGCAAGTTTGGACTTGATTCTATTAATTATATAGTGGAAAGTATTGGATGGGTTCCTCCCTCTGGTGATTGGAATTCGAAGATACTTTCCAATTTCTGCAGAAACAGACATGGCCGTAATATCACAAACATTCCTTCTAATAGTAGTAGGGACCTTCGGAGAAAAGAAGATAGAAGATTTGCTCTTATTAATTTTTCCTCCTGGAGCCTCGCAGAATTTATTAAGGCATTCCATCATACAAACAGCTTGTCTCTCGTAAGCTTCACCAAACAAAAGGAGATCATCTGCAAAGATTAGATGAGAGATAGAAGGTCCCCTTTTAGTTATCATTACTGGTTTCATTCTTTCCTGCTAACCGCATCACAGATAACATGAGACAATCTATCCATGCATAGAACAAAGAGCAGGGGAGAAATAGGATCCCCTCGTCGAAGACCCCTTCTAGGAGAGAAAAATTCAGTTTGAGAGTCATCCCACAAAACATTATGAGGTAGAGATGACATAAGACTTAATCAAATTGATAAAATTAGTATCCATCCCAGTTTCAATTAAGGTCTTCTTTAAAAGGTCCCATATAATACGATCATAAGCTTTTTCTAAATCAATTTTCCAAGCCATGAGACCTCTTTTTCCTCTAGTTCTTTTCATAATATGTATTACTTCTTGCCCCACAATAATATTGTCTTGAATACGTCTCCCTTTGATGAAACTAGCTTGATTGGGAGAGATTACATCATCCAAGAAATGCTTCAGTGTACTAGAAATCACTTTAGTAATACACTTGTAGTGAATAGTGCATAAGGAGATAGGTCTAAAGTGATTAATCATATTGGGATTATCCTTCTTTGGGATCAGGAAAATAAGAGTCTTATTGGCCTCAATGAGAGAAATGTTCCCTTCAAAAGCATCTTTAACAAATCTGCAAATGGAAGAGCTCACCTTACTCCGGTTTGATTGATAAAAATTGGTCAGAAACCATCATAACCTGGAGCTTTGTAAGGACCCATAGAGAAGATAGCATCTTTAATTTCCCCATTAGTAGGAGGTTTATCCAATTAAGCAAGGCTAAAGTTCTGATTCATTAGAAATGAAGTAGTGGTTTGCGGAGATTTTGAACTACCACCTTCATCTGTAAATAAATCTTTAAAATAATTCCCAACCAAAGCTCTAAGTTATTCCTCCTCATCAATCCATTCCCCAGACTCATTTTTCAGAGCTAACACTCTATTCCTCCTCCTTCTAAAATTTGTCTTCAAATGGTAATACCGGGTGTTCCTATCCCCCTGTGCAATCGAATCAGTTCTAGATTTTTGAAACCATTTAATCTCCTCTAATCTAAGGATATTCTCAAGCTCGTTTTGAAGGTTTACTTCCAGATTACAGAGAAAAAGAGAATGGGGATAAGCAGTCAAATTTTGAATTCCACCCAAACGAGCAAGAATGTGTTTCTTCTTATTTTCAATAAAACCAAACACATTTTTATTCCAGCATTATAAAGACTGATGCAGGGACAGCAAAGCTTAGTTTATATCTTCATCTTCAATCCAATTTGAGTTTAGGAACTCTTTAAAGTTTTCGTGAGCAAGCCACGTGGCCTCAAAACGAAACAGTTTAGGATTTCTTAAATGCCCAGGAACAAATTGCATCGTAATCGGATTGTGATCAGAGAAATGTGTATGGGGCAAAACTTTAACTACACAGTTAGACATAGCAGTAAAGAAAAGAGAATTGCCTAGAGCTCTGTCAAGTCTCTCGTACAGCCTAACGCACCCATTTACTTTAGGTCCCTTCCAAGTATACTTCGGACCATTGAAACCCAGACCACAAAGGCCACACTGATCAAGTTGTTGCTGAAACCAATTCATACGTTGGACGTTACCTCTGCCTCCACCAATCCGGTCGGTCACAGCAATAATATCATTAAAATCTCCAATCACAGCCAAAGGTTGCATTTAATACAAGAGTCAGTAGGCACTTAATAATGAAAACTAGTTTTTGTATTAAATACTAGAGTCAGTAGGCACTTCACATGCTCGTGGACTTCGAAGCAAACTTGAAGCCCATCATCCAATGTAAGGCCTAAGTTAGGGGGGCATCAGCACAGTGATTGCCCTTCTCTCCTTCACCAGTCAGTCCCATATCTTCAGGAGCAAACGACTCTCCACTCTTCTTCTTCCTTCCCTCCATCTCCTACTCGAGTCATCGCAGTACTGGGGTCTGTTTCCACTACAAGCCATCTCAAGCCAATCTCCCATCAAATCTGCAATCCCTCTAAGATCTCCCACAATTCTGCAGTGAGACCCACTTTCTTGGCAAATCTTACTCAACCCTGGTTCCCTTTGCTAGCACTATCCTGTATTCAACTTATACCATCCATGATAAGGAGGAAGCGATCAAAAGAACTTGATCCCTATAGTTTTAATTATTTAAAATATTGGTCTCAAATGTTTTTTTAAAAAATAAAATTATATGGACCAAAGTTATTTTTTTAAAACACAGGGGCTAATGTTTTAGATTGTTAAACTGTAAGTATTCAGTCACACTGAGTAAAAAATTCAGAGATTAAGCTGTTCGTATTAGAGTTTAGGAATTGAGTTACCATTGAGATAAAACTATATAAAATAAATAATTAATTTGTCCTTATTTTCATTATTAACATTGTTGCTTCTGGTCTCTGTTTTTGTGGATGGAGATATCATATCAGGGACTCCTTCTAATAAATGTATTAAGAAAACTATGCTTTAAAAATTCAAATTATATAAACATATATTTCATGAGAAATAGAGAGCATGATTTTAACATACACACACTAATAATTACAATATAAACGGATTGTTAGCACCATTGAAGAATGCATTGGATTGGGGATCAAGGCCTCCAAATGTATGGGCTGGAAAAACTGCAGCAGCATTAAGTGCTGTAGGAGGTGGGAGAAGAGCACAGTATCATCTCCGGCAAATTGGAGTGTTTCTTGATCTTCACTTCATCAATAAGCCTGAGTTCTACCTTAACGCCCACCGTCCTCCCGGAAAGTTCAACGATGACGGCGACTTGGTTCATTCCGAGACCAAGGACAAGCTCAAGGAAATGCTTCTTTCCCTCCACACCTTCACATTGAGATTTCATGGCAAGTGCTGAAAATTTTTATTATTTTAGGTTGCCATGAGAGGAGGTAGTTCCTCAGTAACTTTCTCAAGCACCAAGTTAAAGAAACGGTGGAATAATAATGGTGGATGCAATCCACCATTTTTCAATTATATAGAAATGAAGATGCTCTTTCCCACATCGTTTGCTTTATTGGATTTGAAATTTCTGTTTTTCCTTTTCAACAGAGTGGGTTTATCTGCCTATCTCCCGATTCCGGCACGGGGTCTCTAATTTTTTTTTTTTTTTTAACATCGATTTCCCTCCACTTGCCTACTCTTGACCCTTAATTCATTCTATGGCTGAAAAGAAGCAAGGGCACGGAACATTTAATGTCTTCACATCACACATTACAAAACTCTCTCTTCCCTCACACACTCTCTCTGCTCTTTCTTTCTTTGCTTTTTTAATATTTAATACATCAAAAAAATATTTAATACTCGTTAAAATCATCATAAGAATTATAAAAATGAGCCCAAAAAAAAAAAATCTCAAAACGGGCTTATAATACGAACTAAAAAGAGTAATATTTATATCAGGGTTTTGTCCGTTGAACACTATAATTGTCTAAAGTGTGGGAGAACTTATTAATTGATCTCTTTCTGAAAATATTGCATTAATCCACTCTGTTTTTTTTTTCCTGACCAAAACGCCAACGCCATAAAAAATTATGGCCAATTGTTATTCCTCCCGTAAAATGTTATTAAAAAACAGTAAGAATTATGAGTATTTTGGAAAAATTGTCATTATTCTAAACTTAAGAAACAAAACAACAATTTTATAACGTCATCTTTTAACTGCATTTTTTCTACTATCTTAATTGAATGGCGTGCAATTTTTTTTAATAGTTTTATCGCTTTTGAGTAATATTGTTGTTATTCTGATTTTTAAACATTCTTTGCATTTTTCGGTCTCCTTTAGCAAGAATTTTCTTTTATAAATTGGGAAAACCATTTTGCAAGTATCTATAATTTCTCTTAATTTTTACTACCTCCGATCTTTGATATAAGATCTAGTTGACTAATTTTAGTAGATTAAAAGATTAGTTAAATTAGTTATTTGTAATAAACATGTATTCTCTTTCCTAAAATATTTTTACTAATCAAGTGTATATTAGTTAGAACTACCATTACTATAAGAATTACCTTAAAAAAATAGATAAATATAAGAGACATAGTAAATTGAGATCTTATATTTAGACCAAAATAAAAATCAAACTAGCTCTTATATTAAGGATTGGAGATAGCAATTTAGTACCTCTACTCTCTTTTTTTTTTTAAAAAAAAGGGTTATATATTGTCCTCCTTGTTTCTAGATCTGGAGTGAAAAAGTAGAGAGAGAATAAGAGGAGGAAAAAAGGAGAAAAGAGTAGAGAGGGAGTGCGTGGAAAAAAAACCGGAAGAGAGTTTTTATTGTGTATGGGGGGGTATTTGGATAGAAACCAAATCATTGTTTTAGAAATGATTTTATAATATACGAAGTAAATGAGTGAAAGAATTTATCTCGATTTACAAAAAAGTGCTTTTAAAAAGTATTTCTGGAGATATCCAAACAGCCTTATATTGTGAAGGTGTTAAATACCGGCCACAGATTAAATAAAGTGTAAAGATTAGAGAAGTGGAAGGAAATGGATGTAAAAAAAATGAAGAGGTAAAATCGCAAAAAGGATACAGGTCTAAAAGCAAGCATCATAAGAAAGGGCGAATGAGCGAGGGCACAGAGGGTCCTACGAACAACAGTGAGTCTGGAGGTGGGAGGAGCTTAGAGGAAGTGGATCTACTGCGAAGAAGCAAAAAGAAGGTCTGACATGATGGGGAGAATGGTAAGATAAAGGGTGACGGAGAGGAAGCTGTGAGATCTCGTAATTTTTCCTATAAGGAGAAATTGCTAGGGCTATCAGAAAATGGTTTTTTGGAGTACAAGAAGGATGCTGACGACATGATAACTAGATGGAAAGATTATTTTGCTAGGCGTAATACTGTAAATAAGGATGCAATAAAGGAGACCATGTCGAAGGAAGGGGAGGATGAGGGGGTGGAAGGGAAGCCGTTTAAGAAGCCAACTCTTCCGGTGACAGCTGAGGCTTACGAACGATGGTGTTGTCCCTGAAGAGTTTTCCTATTAGTTTCATGAAGGGACGCATTTACAGGATGTGGAGGTCGCAGAATCCCATCAAAATTCTGTACCTCAACAATGGTTATTATATTGTTTCTTGCTCAACAAAGGAGGAGTTCGATTATGTGTACCAAGAGGGTCCATGGATGATAGAGGATCACTATCTCTTGGTGCAATGGTGGCGTCCGAATTTCAACCCTTGGAAGGCTGATAATCACAGGAAGATTGTAGCTTGGAAAAGAACACCGGATCTACAGGTGAAATTTTATGACGTAGAATCTCTGATGATGAAAGGGGATATGGTGGGGAAGACACTGAAAATTGACAGAACAACATCTATTACGGATAAAGGTGGTTTTGCTTGGATATGCATAGAACTTGAACTTACTAAACCTCTACTTCCAGTTTTTGACGCATTGGGAGAGGATCACAGGATCGAATACGAAGGCCTACGTATGGTGTGCTTTCATTATGGGAAGTACGGCCATCAAATGGACCAGTACCCTTCAAAGATAATCAATCGTGAATCACGAGCAATAACCGATTAGAATAATGGGAAAAGCTCGGAAGGCTCGAAGTCGCAGGATATCAACCCGGATGGTGCTTCACCGAAAAGTATGTCGAAAATCAAAACGGACGGTGGGACGAGTAAGACAGTGGCAGTGTATGGGCCTTTAATGCTCATGCAGCGACAATTTCAGCGCCTTGAGAATTTCACGGGCAGATTTAACAGGAAGGCTGCGAGGGAGGCGAGGATTAAGGCAAGAGATAGAGAGGATAATAGGCCGATAGGATGTAATAGAAAGGTTGGAGCTAAGGATAACGTAGGAGTTACTGAGTGATCTGGTCTTGAGGAAAGCAAAAAGGCTGTAAATGAGGACATGGTAAACACTGAAATCACAAAAGAGACTCCTTGGAAATTTGGAAGAGATATCAAGAGTATCCAGGTTGGCAAGTGGGTCCCAGTAATTGGGAATAAGAGGAAAATAAAAGGGAAGTTAGTCTCACAAGGGAATTTAGTAGATGGGACAAGAAAAGTCGTTGTGGGCATCACATATAGGCCTCAGATGCTAACGGCCTCCAATTTTATGGAAGCCCTAAATTTTTTGCGATTCTAGCGAATGGGCTTGAGGAGCATGAGCCCAAAGCTCGTCGGCCATCATCATTCATCAAGAAACTGAAGCCCAAGTCTCTGCCGAGGCTTGTACAGTAGAGACTTCGTGTACCAAGACCGTTGAAGTTCATAATGACAAGGATATTTCCATGCGCGAGGATAGTATTGTTGATTCTGACCTGGTTCAACATGTCGGGATTACTGAATCCCGTTAAACCCCAACCATCTCCCAACGAATAGTCTGATATGGAACTCGCGTGGCACAGGAAATAAAACCTTTCCTAACCTTATACGCGAAATCAAAAAACACTACAAGGTGGATGTTATTGCTTTGCTTGAAACTCGGTCGAGTGGAGAGTGGGCTTGTCGTATTGCAAAAAAGTTTGGGTTTCAAGAACTTTGATATCATTGATGCTGCTGGATTTAGGGGTGGTATATGGGTCCTGTGGGATGATGATTTTTTGAGAATTCAGGTGCTTGAGAAAAATCCACAATTTTGCCATTTAAAGGTTGAAAGTGTCAATCATGAGCATTGGTATATGATGATGGTTTATGCTAGTCCGAATCTTGTGAGACGTCGCAGTTTGTGGGATTACCTGACGCATTTGGGTAATCAAATGCAATGGTCGTGGTGCATAACAGGGGACTTTAATGCTACTTTGTATAAAAATGAGTGCAGGTCCAATGCAATCAATGTGACACCCATAGATTGTGACTTTTACAACTGGGTCGAAAGCGTTGGTGTTAACAATCTTGGTTATGAAGGGCCTGCTTTCACTTGGAAAAGGACGGATATAGAAAGTCATATTGATCGTGTCCTATAGAATGATGATTGGCTCACTGCCTTTTCTTTGGCCACGGTCTTAAACCTTCCTTGGCTCAAGTCAGACCATCGTCCTAATTCTTTTGAAGACTAATCGGGGCTTTACATCGGATAAAGGAGATTGCCTGTTTTGCTTTCTGGCCGCATGGGTTTTACATGATCAGTTTGAAACTTTCGTGAAAGACAATTGGCGGGAAGAAGTAGAGTGGAACACCACTGTTATATCCTTCACTACAGCTTGTACAAAGTGGAATAAAGAAGTTTTGGTCATATTGGAACGCGAAAAGGAAAGCTCATTCGAAGATTGGATGGTATATCATGAGCTATGGCCGCCAATTGTAATTCACAACAGCTTGAACAGGTGCAACAGGACCTTTGGAATGAACTTGAAGAGGTTTTGGTAACAGAAAAGTTAGCCTGGGCGCAAAAAGTAATCCAGAATTGGTCCTTGTATGGGGACAAGAACACTCGCTACTTTCATGTGTGCAGTAGAAGAAGAATTAATAGGATAGGTGCCATTAAAGACGAAAGGGGAGAATGGGTTTATGATAACGACAAAATTCATAAAATGGCAAGTGAGTTTTTTGCTACTTTATTCTCTGAAGAAGTTGATCACAGAAGTGAGCTGGCCTGCGAAATCACTTTTCCCATTATTAATGAATCTGTCTTGCGACAAATGGGGCGCATGGGGATTGAAGAGGAGGTGCACTCTACTTTGTTTAGCATGGGAGCATTGAAAGCATCGGGACCAGATGGTTTAAATGCTTTGTTTTATCAAAGCCAATGGAAGCAGGTTCAAAAGTTTGTGGTAAGATTTATCAAGTTCTTGTGGTTAAATCCTTCTGAGATTGCACATGTGAATAGTACTTTAATTGTGCTCATCCCTAAGAAGAATCCAACTAAAACTCTCAAAGACTTATGACCTATTAGTCTTCGTAATGTGGCTTTTAAAGTCCTCA